AACAATGCAGTTGTGTGATGTGGGACGCCCCTCTGTATGCTGTGAATATGTTTTACTGCCATTGCTTAATAAAGAAGCTGATTTGGCCAAGTGTCCAGCAGATTATAGCTACGCAGGAAATCCAAACAGAGATACAGAGAGAAGGAAGGCAGAGTCTAGGAGATGCCGTGTAGCCAGCCACTGGAGGAGTGGGATGCCAGAGAATTAGTGGTAAATCACAGCATGCGGCAATGCACAGATTAATAGAAATGGGTCCATTTAAATGTAAGAACTAGCTAGTAATAAGCCTGAGTCATTTGCCAACAATAATAATTAATATTAAGACTCAGAGTAATTATTTATAGGCATCAATCGGACAGCGCAGAACACAGAAAACCCTCGGCTACAGTTAGTTGTGTTTCCCTTTAGTTTTCTCTGCATGATGATGTCATGATGTTGTACAGTGTGTGCACCACGTTCTACTGAACCTGAATATATGACCCCGAAGATGCGATATGTCTAGTTTCTCTGTAGACTGCTGGGTATACACGGAGCAGGCCATGCCATCCGTATCCATATCCAAGGTGCCATCTGCCTGTGTAGCCCATGGCTGGGAAATCATTGTGCAGCCCAAGTGGCCTGGAACTTGCTGATACAGATCCACGCCTGTGAGTTGTGAGTTTACAGGAGTGTGACAGCTCACCTGACTAAAGAAGAGTCTTAAGAGTGGAAAGTTGGAAATTGCTTTTTATTCATAAAGCATTCATTTATTCAATGGGGGCTTTAAGACAGCAGTCATTATAGACAGTGTGTAACCTTAACAAACTATTAAAACAATGGAAAGAACAAAATAAATAACAAAAGATAACAAAACCTTACACTAAGATGAAGAAAACCAAAAAAACTAATGCAGATATCCCAATATATAAACCAAACCAAAACAATCTAAAACATAACAAAAACAACCAACCAAACAAAATTAAGCAAAATTCCTACTTTCCTTTGGAATTTTCTTTAAGTAAAAGGAAATCAATAACATGAGACAAGAGGAAGTGGATTAGTCTCTGTAGGGAATTATCGTCACCAACACGTTTGCGTGATATGGGGTCAGCGTCAGCTCTGCACTAGAGAGAGAATCTTATGCTTTGGGTGTGGTCTGTCTGGATAGCAGTGTGACAGAGTCTTCCTTGTCAGATTCCACATCACATATGGAGTCAACTTGCCAAAGCCCTTGACAGTAGCTGACCGATTAACTCTTGTTTACCCATATAACTCCCTCCATGTTGTTTTACCCACACCAGGGCCACTAGGTGATGGATGTTAGGCTTCTGTGTAATTCATGGGGTGTCCTCTGAATCTCAAGCTTATTTATGATGTAGTCTTTTCTTTGGATGTGAGCCAACAGAGGTGGATCAGATTGCGGCTGGATCCTCTGATGGTAGATTGATGGTTTCCTCAATGCTGAATTCACAGCAGAAAGGATGCGGCTTTTTCAGAGGAGGCCTGGATCCTGGAGTGTAGAATGTCATGCCTTCAAGGTGTCTCTGGCTTTCTCCAGCCTTCTGAGTTCTCTTAAGAGGTGCTGTCAGAGAAGAAGTGGAAATCAGACATAGAAACTGTCTCTCTGGGACACTGGCACGAAAAATAAATCAGGACCTATTCAACTCTAGTCAAATAAAGTCAAGGAAGAACACCCACACCAAGAATATCCAGGTTGGTGGGAATGGGGCTCCATGGTGGCTCACTTGCCTGGCACATAGTGCTCCTGCTGCAGCAGCTCCATCTGCAGGAGCCTCTCCTCCTGGGCTGTGGTCTCTTCCAGTTCATGCTGGAGATGTTCAGACCTAGAGGAGATGGACAGCTAGGACGGAGGCCTGGTGGGGCCCTGCCATGCCAGCTTTTGAGCCCCCACTAGCTACACAATCCAGCATCACCTTTTAGCTGAGCTCATTCCCTGTTTCCCCCAAGGGAAAAAGAGTCACAGAGACGCTGGGCTGGATATTTTCGCAACTTTTAAAAACTGCTAAAAGTTGAACTGGAAAATACACTGTGCTGACTAGAAAAAAAAAGAGTATATTTTCTCAACAGCCCAAAAACATTAATTTGGAGAAATGTCAATGTCTGAGTCACAGTTCAGGAAAGATAATCCGGGCCATGATTGGATACCAGATCAATGTGAACAACCTGTAAAACTCCATGTCTGCCCTCTAGTGGAGCCTACACAACATTGCAGAGAAGGCTCTGATTATTCCTACAGCTCAGAACCTGCATGGGGTTAATTTGTCAGCTCCTAATCTGTTTATGGCCAGAATAAATCTTCTCACAGGAAACTGATGAACCCTGCAGAGAGCCTGAAACCAGCTGGAGTGGGCTGCATTCAAATCAGCCACAGACTAGAAACTTCTCTCTCAATGTGATGTTCCTGAAGGAAAATAAAGTGGCAGAGGACACACCGTCCCTCACAATTGACCTGCTTCTCACAAGAGAAGAAGGGGACACGATCCTCAAAAGACCAATAACCAAACATATTGTTTCCTGGACAAAAGTTCCTGGTATTAGCCAACTCGATACTCTGAGGTATTCTTTCCCTGGCTGTGCCTGGGAGCCTTGCCAAATGAATAAAACCCAAAGAGGACAGAGATCCAGGTAAAGGGGATCCACTAGGCTCCATCTTCCGCCAGTCCGTGCTCCTACCTCGTCTGGGACTCCGTGAAGTGATGCTGCAGCTTTCCTGCTGAGTCCTTTTGCTGGGTAGCCGGTTCCTTCGGCTTCAGTAGGGAATGAAGATGTTTCTCCAGTCTTTGTTGTTCCTAATCATTAGAAAATTGTGTTCCTTAGGACAGGGTTGTCTGATCCCACGTAAACATGTGTGCATGCATGCACACAGACACACACAAACACACACACTCCTGAACACACAGAAGTACATGGATGCACACATACAAGCACACTGCATTGCATCCACATGTGTAGTTCCTAGCTAACACTAATGGAGGAAGAGATCACCTGGGATTGTACAGAGAAGAGAGTTAACTACTTTCCTTAGCCCACACCCTCTCCATCTGTATCCTAACCCAGGCACAGGGATGGGGTGATGTGGTGAGAATTGTGAACTCTGTTTTGGTAAGTTTTCATTTTATTTCTACTTTACATGTGTGGGGGTTTTGCCTGCCTGTGTGTCTATGCACTACATGCACGCCTGGTCCCTGGGAGAAGAACACAGTGGACAGAGCAGTCAATGTAGTGCTTGCCTTAGAAACCCAAGCCACAAAATGGTGGATGCCAGGGTTCCTTCACCCAGTTAGCCACGCTTGCATAGCCAGTTTTCCAGACTGTCCAATGAAGGCTTAGTTCCGTGGTACAGGACCACTGCCTGGTGGTGGACCAGCCCCCTGCTCTCACTCAGGGCTTCCCAGTGACTCCAAGGGGGGCAGCTTCCTCCAAAAGGAGCTCTCTGAACCACAGGTTACCTCAATTTTGGCCTAATGAGTTCAAGGAATGAGTTCAGAAAACCAGAAAATATCTACAACCAGGAGTCAAATAAACCTTTCCGTCTAGTAAGATGATTATGCCAGGGATTTCTCTAAGTAACAGAAGGCTGACTGACTCATGGCCAAATGAGTGCATGTATTATTTCCTGCTTAACAGTATTCCATGGAAGGGCCTGATTTCACTGAATTTTTACTCATCAATGATGGACATTTGAATATTTTCTGGTTTGGCGGTGCTCTGAGGAATGCTTCTATAACCCAGGTGTCCCCTAGATTCTCTGTGGACTTTTCCTTCTCATTCTGGGATCACAGGGTCATCTTGTGACTGCAATCCAAGTTTCTGAAAAATTATACATAGCTTCTCCCAGGGCTACACCATTTCACACCATAGCAATGCCGGGGGGTCCTCATTTCTGCCAACGTTCATCAGGCCAACTTTAACTCAGCATAAAGAAGCTGGGAATGAAAGCAGCTTCTGAGCGCTGCAGACACAACATGTAGTGAGTGCTATAGACTATGATGAGCCTATGTGGGCTGCACTAAGACAGCCTGTTCTCACAGCTCAGCGTGGCTATGGGACTTCTGCTGGAGGGAGACACTTCTGCAGTTCAGAATTTCTTTCATTTATTTAAGTTCAGAATTTCTTAAAGAATAAAATCCAGGCCAAGATCCAAGGACAAAGCCAACTGAACCAAGATTAGACAAAGGTGAAAGAAAAATGGTAGCAGGCAATGATGAGAAGAAGAACAAAACAGGATGCAGGCGAGTCGTTAGTGGACAGTCACCTTTCACCCAGAGCAGAGAAGGACACACATCCTCAACTGGTCTTTCCTGCCAGGTTCTGTTTTGTGAAGCCAACGAGACAAACCAGACATTTCCTGGGAGGTTACCTCAGTTCGGTGAAAGGAAAGAAGTCTACTTTTTGTTTTCAAGAAAGCTCTGGGGTTTGAATTTTTGTATTATAAAACACATTAATTCCAAAATAGTGAAAATGTGTAAAAGTTGAGAGAAAACACCAAGTCCTTTCTCTTTCTTACCAAAAGAACCATTTAGCAATAAGATGATGAGGCAGAAAAAGATAGGAAGCTCTACCTGTGTGGAGACGGGAGATCCAAAGAGCTCTGGCCTGGTAAGCTTAAGCGGAACAGAAATATTCTGTTCTAGCAAGCAAATGATCCCCAGGCCCTTGTCCTCACTCACACACTCACTCAAAGCTCTGTGATTCTCCCTATGTGGCTCCCAGCATAGAACCCTTCCCACCCTACTGACATGTAGGTGTGTGATATGTGATTTACTAATCTCCCTCAATGGACTGCAGCTTCTACCAGAGCATGATGGTTTGTTTTCCAGTCAGGTTGTGTGTTCCAAGAGGTTACTCCCCAGAGAGACTTGTGATGGATCCCAGATATGAACCATTAGACGGAATGGAGGTGGTCAGCTGGGTAACTGAGTGGACGGTTACATGATGGTGTACATATGTGTGTGTGCGATTAGATAGGTGGGCAGCTTGCTCCTGCTGCCTCAGCTTACCTGCTGCTGCTTGCTCCAGAGTTTATAGATCTTCTCATGGGCCTCCTCACAGAGCCTCCTTGTCTCCTCACAGGACTCTTGCAGGGAAATCTGTTCTGCTTTCAGCTTTCTCTTGTCTTCGTTCAGCATGCCCACTTTGTCCTTCATCTGTGTCCATTCTCCCAGAAGCTGGCTGTGGAGGGTGCTTAACCATCACAAGCAATGATGAGCTCCAGTCCACCTCCATCTGCCACTCCTACCTACTAATACCACCTTCCCTGCAAGGTCCCATGTCCTCAGATAGCACCAGACTGCAGACCACATTAGCAAGGCCAGTGTCCACCAGGTGATGCACCTCTAAGAACTCTGCACCCCCAACACACACCGGTCCTACACTGATCACGGTATTGGGAGACCATCATCAGGTATAGAGCAAACATGGTCTGAGGGAGGACAGAGGACCCAAGGGGAATACATTCCACATCTGTGTCCCATAGCAACAGGCTATGTAAGCCCCTGTCAGAGTCCCAGAGTCAGAGTCCCAGAGACCATTCATGGTGCAAACCATGTTTTCTATCTAGAAGCTCTGGAAGCTGACAGGATCACGTTGGGAGGGGCTCTTGGAACTCCTTGCACTTGGGAGAAATCAGTCTGGGAGGACAAGTACAAGGTAAACAAGCTAGAACCACAGCCCTCACTTTGGTTCAAAGGCAAAGTGGGGGAAGAAGCTATCCTTCCGAAGTACAGGGGTCCCATCCAATCAGACACTCACCGGTAGGAGTTGATCTCCTCAGTCAGCTTCTTGGACTTGTATGAGCTCTCTCTAATTTCCTTGTGGAATTTCTCCAGCTCTGACATCTCTTTCTGATGATCCATTTTCAGCTCCTCAAGCTCAGATTTCAGCCTATGGTAGAGCATGGGCCCAGGAACAAAGAACCCCATGAACACAGGAATTACGGCTGTGTCTTGAATTATCCTAGTCCACTGGATGTCACATCCTTAATCCTAGGTACTAGGACCTGTTGATGTTTCTTAGACTTGCTAAGCTGCCCCAGTGGCAGAAAGGCAGAGCGTCAAGAGACAGACAGGGCTACATGAGCTTCTTTAGTAGGCCTGGAGGAACAAACTAGCTCTTTTTAAGATGTCCCAGGAGTCTGTGCCACGGGTCTGGGCCTACATGAAACCTGTAATGACATGTCTCCTGTCTTCAGAAAAAAAAAAAAGTTTATTCTGTTTTCCTGTTTTCACAGGGATGCCCAGAACTCATAATCAGGATTTCCATGGAGGAAACCATACAGTACAATGACTTTATAAACTCCCCAGGGAATTCCATTCAGTCACCAAGGCAACCTCGAAGAATGAGGGCAGGGATGCTCAAAGTGGGACTCTCTGGCCTCAGCACTTATATCACCTGAGACTCTGAGACAAACAAATCATCGGCCCTACTACCAATCTCTGACTCACATCATCTGGACGGACCCACACACAAACACACACTATAAGGGAACCCCTCAGAGACAGTACAGAACACACTCAGACATCACAGCACAAAGAAGATTTAGTGACTCAGAGGAGCAATCATTGAATGGGGGGGGGGGGAAGGAGCTGCCTCTGAATCAGGCAAGGGCTGAAGGCAAGCAATGGGTTGTTTTATGTTTTTTTTTTGTTTTTTTTTTGTTTTGTTTTTTTTTTTCCAGCCATGGGTTTTAATGAGATAAGGGGAAGTCTGTGCTAGGATGAGTTGGTGAGACCTGATTGGACAGGTAAGCCAGAACAGCCAAATAATGAATTTTGATTTCTGAACCTCAGTGTTTGTCTTCAGGAATGAGTCAGTGGCCAACGAAGGAATGAGCCCTGGGAACTAATTTTAGGAATGCAATTAAATGTTTTATCAAGGGAGAGAGAAGTGAAAAAGGCAAAACCTGCCACTGCCATATGGGCAATGTTTGGGCCCCTTAGCCTTCACCCACATAAACCCATACACAATTAGGATGTTAGAAACAGGCAGGTAGGTGACTTTATCTCAGAGTACAAGAAACAAGAGCAGATAGCTGATGTGGGAGTGATTTCTTATTAATAAAGAAACTGCCTAGACCCATTTGATAGGCCAACCCTTAGGTAGGCGGAGTAAACAGAACGGAATGCTGGGAGAAAGAAGCTGAGTCAGGGAGTCGCCATGATTCTCCCACTCCAGACAGACGCAGGTTAAGATCATTCCTGGTAAGCCAGCTCGTGGGCTACACAGATTAATAGAAATGGGTTAGATCAATATGTAAAAGCTAGCCAATAAGAAACTGAAACTAATGGGTCAGGCAGTGTTTAAAAGAATACAGTTTCCGTGTAATTATTTCGGGTAAAGCTAGCTGGGTGGCGGGACACAGCCCGCTGCTCCGTACTACAACAGATAGCTTCCCAGATGAGCTGCAGTCCTCCCAATCACACACTGAGATGGACCTAGTGGACGAGGCCCTGCTCTCCGAGCAACCAGCAAGAAATCACCCAGTCAAAAACAAAGACTCCCCAAGAACTCAGCCCCAGCATCTCCCACAAGCCAACACCTATCCAGGCCTCCTTGAAATGCATGTTGTGAGCTCACACACTACTGCCCCATCCATAAAATGTGACTCAGGCCTCAGGCTCTGCTTTTCAGTAAGAGGAGGCAGAGCAGCCTGTGTCCCCATCTCACTCCTGCCCAGGCTTCAGTTCTGCCTCTCAGATGCACATGGGAAAAGTAGTTTGGGCAGGAGGACACCTTGGAGATGAAGCCTCAAGTGACATGAGGAATGAGGGGTGGACACAGGAGGGTCAAGACAGTCACCAGAGAAGTGGACATAATGACTACCTGTTGTTCAAATCATTGTTGGTATAATTGGCCAGGATTGCACGAAGTTCATTCCTCTCATTGGTCATCATCTGGAGCTGAAGGGTCAGTTCATCGACCTTGTTCATCTTCTGCTCCTGCTCAGTGACAGAGCTTGAGGTTGATGGTTTTCCAGCACTCCCTGTAGGTAGATAAACATCAGTGAATTTGTCCAGTTAGATGGTACGGGGCCGTGAGAGATCATGTTGAGTCCCAAAAAGAGGCCTAAGGAAGAGGGAATGCATGAAGACCCCCAAAGAACAGAACAACTGTTCTCCATTTGGAGCCCATAAGCCTTGTCTCCTTCCCCAATCACCATTGCTAGATATTTCCGTTAATATTTAGAAATGTTATTTTCAGCTGTGTGACTTTTGTTTATGCTGCATTTGTTTAACTCTGTGAAGCTGTGTTACTGTGCCTGTCTAAAACACCTGAGGGTCCTAATAAAGAGATGTTCAGCCAATAGCGAGACAGGAGCAGGGCTAGGTGGGACTAGCAGGCAGAGTGTGTAAACAGAAGGTGAACTCTGAAAGGAGAATAGGAGGAGCCCAAGAAGAAGACGGGAGGACTCCAGGAGCCAGCTACTAACTCACTCAACAGCCATGGAGTAAGAGTGAAAGTGAGGTTTACAGAAAAGAGAGATAAAATCCCAGAGGCAAAAGGTAGTCGGGATAAATTAAGTAAGAAAAGCTGACAAGAAAAATCCCATGGTAAGTATATAAAGCCTCTGTGTGTGATTTATTTGGGATCTTGGTAGTGGGTCCCCCAAGATAGCAAAGAGTGAAATATCCCACAACACATCAGTCTCTACTGCAGCCCCACTGACCCTGGGAGGTACAGGCTAGCCCAGTCATGTTGGTTTCAAAATGTCAGCTCCTGTCTGATGAGATGCAGGAAGGTCCTGATGCCCTCGTGAATTTCACCTCCCAGACCAGCTAACTTGTGTTTAAGACTAAAAGCAACCGAGTGTCTCAGACCTGAGTGCAGGGATGGGGAGTTTCCCTTCCCGATATTCACATCAGATACCCAAGGAACCTACAGATATCCACTGATGAGAAAGTGCAGGAACACCCAACCTTGACGACTCACAGTGACACTGTCTCCTGCTGCATTCTTTCCCACTCAGAATTATAGTAAGGAGCTCCCAGCACAGTGGCTGCAGCCTTGACCATTCCTAACTCTTGGCAGAAATCCTCCAATTGTGGTCTGCTCTTTAGGAACCCAGAGAAGAAGCATAGGCCCATTGCTTCAGATGGTCCCACCTACCAAACCCCATTTCTAGAAGGTCCCATTTGAGTCTCACCTTCTTCTTAGAAAACCAGAAATCGCTCTGCCAGTTGGTGTACTTAGTCTTGTACATATCTCTTGGTGAACCGTATAAACAATAAATGCCTCTAGAGCAGTTGGCATTGCCACCATACTGGTGTTGCCATAGAAGATGCCAAGCGCTCTCCAGGATACGACAGAATGTTCAGACAAGAGACTTTTGGGATCATCACCTATCTCATAGATAGCTCTTTCCCAATTCACAAAAAACCAAGCTACCCTTTCCACGAGCCTTCCCTGAGTCACAGCCAAAGCCTTTCAGCACCTCTTCCTTTCAATCCAGAGGTCTCCCCGATGATTAGAATCTAGTTCATTCTAATTCACAAGCTCATCCTGGGTGGAGGACAAGATTTACTTTCCAGAGACTTCCCAGGAATGGCTCTTGCCATCCCTAAGACGACTAAACAATAAGATGAAAAATAAAGGATGCTAAGACATTAGCCCAGGATGATGGGGAAGGAAGATCAGATCCATACAGTGGACAAGCACATCAGAGAAGACCCATGGGACTAAAACATTGTACGGGGCGGTGGGGGATTGGGGGTGTCCTTTCAGAACAATAATAAATCACATGGGTAATGATGAAAAATTGATCGAAAGCTTCAGAAGAATACTTTCCAGCCCTCACAGTGTTAGCAAAGGCATGATCAGCTGTTCATAGGTGAGGCTGAATATACCTAAGGCCTGAGCAACCCCAGGGGAGCCCCCAGACAACAGGAACAAGCATTTCCAGGAAGAGTGATAGCCCATTCCTGCACTCTGGTTAGAGGAGAGATGATTGGCTAGCGAGAGGAGAGGAATTCAGAAACCTTAGGGGTCACTGACATGCAGCAATAATTGGTGGCTCCTGCCCTGCAAGGGGTTGTGATGTAAAATGTGAGGACCTCCTGCTTTGTCCGGGGGACTTTACTCTCCCTGTCTTTAGTGACACAGAAACCAAAGAAATCCAGTGACGGTGAAGGGCAGGGCTGGAACTGGAACC